TGGATGATCTATCCATTGTTGAGACTGGGGTATTAAAGTACCCAACTATTACAGTCGTAGTATTTACTTCTTTTAGCTCTGCTAGATGTTGCTTTATATTTCGGGGGTATACCAATGTTAGGTACACACATATTTACAACTGTTATATCTTAGTAATGTGTTAACCCCTATATCATATAATTACCTTCTTTGTCTCCTTTTATTGTTTTTAGCTTAGTCTATTTTGTGTAAGTATAGCTATCCCTGCCCTTTTTGGGGGGAGTGGGGTTACCATTTGCTTGAAATGTCTTTTTCCATCCTTTTACTTTCAGTCTATATGTGTCTTTAAGGGCAAGGTGAGTTTTTTGGAGTCCCTGGCGATGACTCAGGCCTTATTACAAAGAGAGGAAAAGTAAAATTAAGGAGAAAGTAAACACAAATTAAGTATTAGATGGTTTTTAAGGGAATGCTGTTGAAGGAAAGGAACTCTTATCCTCATGGATGACTTACTTCATGGCCTTTGATCTCATTTATAACTCTTGGCCTACTTAATTCTACTAGGTTGTTTCTATGCTTTATTTTCCTGAGTTGACAATTAAGGTACAGGATTTTTTTTTTAATTGTAATTCTGATCCACATTATATTGTGATCCAAAAAACTGTATGCTGACCCAATATTACACAGTTTCATTCTGAGAAGGAGCCCACAACTTGACATATTAATCACTGAAAGACAAAATGTCTCAAACACAGAAAAAACGTAGTTCCTACCATAATACACAGCCTTTTTCAGGTATATAGTTACCATTTTTAGTGAGTTTTAAATAGAGATTCAACATAGATTATCTATCCTCTCTTTTGTTTTCCCATTGTATAACCTTTGTTCTGCTTTTCTTTCCTGAGTTACTGTAACCTTAGACCTAATAAACTTTTTCTCCTTGTGCAGAATTAAATAATTTGACTAGTTTAACCTCTGCCAGTGGTAGCATATGCTTCCTTGGTTCCTAAGGGGCCGACTGGCAATGATGGTCAGTGCTGAGCTTATTCTGCTTCTCCCAGTCTTCAAGGCTTTATTAGTTGCCATCTCCTACAGGAACCCTTCATCCACGTTGCTGACCCACAGTGGATTTTCCTCCTGTATATGTGCGCATATGGTACAATCTCATTTTCATTTTTCATCACTAATAGTATTTAACCTTCCATGACTTGATATCATCCTTCTGCCACGGGATTGGTACTCTAACTAACTAGTGAGCGATTTATGTCTATCTCTGTGTTCCTCATGACTAGCACAGTAGAACTTGTGAGTATAACAAACTTTAGAGTGGGCATGAAAAGGCTGGCTGGTCACCCATCTGTGCTACAAGGTGTCTGTGCTATGCCTGGAAGATGAGAAGGCGCAGACAAGTGTGTCCTGAAAGACCCACCTTCAAGGCTGATCACTAATGAGTCATTTTATGGCGTGACCAAGGGAGGTATTCTAAAGTTGTAACTATATTAGCTGTGTGACTGTCTCTTCCCCTGTCCTCCCCACTGTAGGTTCTGAGCTGAGCATAATGGGGAAAAAAGACCTGGTCCCTGCACAGCTATTCCCTGTGAATAGTGTGTGATAACGAAAGAGTGAAAGAGGGAAGCCTGTACTAGAGCCACAAGCAGTGGGCAGGGCATGGGGCATAGTCCATAGCTTACTTTGATTGCTCTACAAGTGCACAAAGAATAGCTAGAACTGATGTGTGTGTGTGCCCTGAGTATTACAAGTAAGAACATTCCTGTCTAGATGTGCTTTCCACTAGATGATAAAGTCTCTACCCTAGGCTAAAAGACCAGGGGCTCTGTCTTTCTCACATTTATACCCTAGCCCATTTCTGACTAGTCCAGAAGTACCACATTAAAGACATTCAATAAATGTTCTTAAGGGAAGAAATAGGTCCTTGGAAGAGATAAAAGTTAGTTATGTGAGATACTAAGGTTAGGCTCTGACTCATTCATAAGATACTCATACACATTCAAGACCTATTCACAGTGCTGTGTACCACTTACTCCCCAAGATCCTTAGTTGTTGACCTCCAGCAATGTTGTGCACTTCCAAAGGATCATCAAATGAGTAACGCTTTTTGCTTTTAAGTATTTTCTGAATTCAATGTATTAAATACCTATAAACCTTGACAACAAGAGGGGATTAATAGAGATACAAGTCCCGTATTTATTCCTACAGGTAGAGTTGCCAGGCAACCATCACGTTAAAATACACAGGACTATCATTGTGGATCCATCTTCTCTTGTAACTCCTTTGCTGCCAAAATGATGATGTATGGATCCATCTTCCAGGCACTCTTACTGGATAAAAATCTTCTCTTGTAGAAACTGCAGAATACTCTGGAGGTGGCAAAAATGATTCCATGCTTTTAGAGTATTCCTTTTCAATAGAGAAAATGCACTTACATTGAGAGACGACTGTAACTTAAAAAAATAATTCAGAGCATTAAACTTTGAAGTTAGCAATGTAAAGTATTTATCATAAATTAATATAACACAACAGGGGTGCTATGTACTGCAGAACAGGTGCTGTCTTACTCATTCTCTGGATACTTCTCAGCTCTCCTCCGTGGTAGTTTCATCCATAGCACTCACAGGATGACAATTTTATATCATAAGAGGTCTCCTGGTAGTGGATATTAATTTATAACAGAGAGGAACAGCACGGAGAGTTTTTTGTGTGTGCGTTGCCAGTAAAACACACAAACTGCTCCCTTGAGATACATATGGTTATATATTAGAACATTAGTGATGGCATGAGAGTTAATAAGAGATACAATATACAATATAACCATATATAGTATATATTAATAATCCACAGGAAATACTGTAGATACTAAAGAAAAGCTCCCAGGATAAATCGTGTTCTACACATAATCTTCAAACATACACAGTGCTTCCCCAGTGGCATTCACAGTTATCTGAGGTGAGATATCTGAACTATTATTTTTTTCAATGAAGCATAAACAATAAGATCTTCTATTGTTGTCCATAAACCTTAATAGAACTGCCACTAACCAAGGGATGAAATAAATGTTGCCAAACTAATAAAAAGTAATTTCTGTAGTTTCTTAAATGACTCCTGTTCCACATGCAAAATATTCTCAACTTGATCCGTCAAATAAAAATACATAATATTTCGACCTGAGGCTATTCAGAAACACTAATTTAGGATCTGTCTAATATAAGGGACTTGTGCATTTTGAGCAAAATCTAGCCATAATCCTGTAACTAACATTAAAACTAACATTTAAAAAATCTACCCCTTATAATTCAAGGACTTTGAAATAGTTTGCTTACATAATACTCAAATGGGAAAAATGTTATTCTCGGTTCAGGACCTCAAAAACCACTAATTCCCAGGTAAAAGTTAAATGGCGTATGAAAGTGACATACCCTAGAGCAAACCAGGTATGCTTCACCGAGGATAGCTGTGGTGTCATGAGCCGTTCGTAATGAGCCAGAGTGGGTGTCATGCTGCTGTTCTCTTTCTCTGGTTTTTTAGGTATAATTGACACATATTAGTTTGAGGTGTACAACATAATGATTCTGTATTTGTATATATTGGGAAATAGTCCCCATAGTAAGTATAGTTAACATCTGTCACCATACAGTTAAAATTTTTTTCTTATGATGAGAAATTTTAATACTCATTCATACCAACTTCCAGATATGCAATACAGTATTCACTGTAGTCACCATACTGACTACGTTGAGAGACGTTGCCACCCCCTGCGTCTGGCATGCAGTATGGGAGTACATCATCTCCATCTCCTCCTCCTCCTCTCCCCCCCCCCCAAAATCTCAACGGTGCTGAGTTGAAACTCTGCCTTTGGTGTCGTGATGTACAACCAGAACTGACGACTGGATATTACCATTTATAATTCTCATTCCACTGAAGTTTTATAACTGGGTTTTATCAAGCTCTTAACAACATTGGGTCTAGAACATTAACAACAATAGCCATCATTTGCGGATCTATGTACCAAGGGATTATACACATGATCTCACT